TCCAGTGGAACATATATGATCTTATGTAAAATAGAGTTACTTATACCAATTTTGTCGACGATTTTTCCGTCTACAGCTATTTTTGTAAATTCTTCCTGGTCCATGTTGTCCCACGATATCTTCAAACTTAGTGTTATCTATTGTTAGTTCGACATCTTAGCCTCCTGCATGGATTATCAAGTTATTTGCGCAGCATTTCTCTATGAACGGCTATGTCTGTCATAAAACTGTCCTTTATTTTCTCTGCTATCATCACTGGTGAGCGCGCATCATCCGGCAAAATTCATTTCAAATTCTTACTTCTTTTTTGAGAGATCCCATGATGAAGGATTTTCGTGCCTCTCTCAAGGCACCAGTGCAATTTCTAATGTATGTAAGGCATCTTAATTCGCAACCAAAACTCAACAGCACCTTTCGCAAAGTCAGTTCTCACTGTTCATCTCGAAGGTTCCACTTATTTCCTGTAAAAACAGGTTCTATCTTTCCATTTCTGCAGCTACTTCGATAACCCTACCGTTCTTGCAAATTGTGTAGACATCTCATGCACCCACACTTTTAGTGACGCCATTTGTTGAGTTAAAACATTCATTTCTATCATCAGTGTTAACAGTGTTTGTTTTAACGAACTCCTTCCTTGTTCGCACTCTGTACACGCACTCTCCCCTCGCTTGCATTCCAGCTTGTCTATACTACTAGGTGTATCTTCACCCATTTTCTGTGGCACGATTGTTAGTTATGTTATAACTAATTGTAATCATGTCATAACTAACCAATCAGATTGGTTGAGCGCTCACCACGTTATCTAGTCTGACCGGTCTGTAAACTTCCTTTGTTGTGAATGACCTATCGATTGAAGGATGTTATTATTTTATTTTATATAGATGTGACTCATGTTTTTTATTCATTTCCCAAAGACACACTATACTGGCTGGTACGTTTGCTCATCCTACTTGATAATTGTAATTTCCGTATTTATTGTACTAATTTAATCGTTTTTTTGTTTAGAAACAGACAAAGTTTAAAACCAAGTTTTCATTGTTCTGATTTTATCGTCGACTCCGTGAGCACCAGTATTGCGTTTACGGTTTAGAATTACATCTGTGGGCCAGATTAAATCCTACAACGATTTCTGTTGTCTTTCGGTACCACGAAATCGCCTGCAGTGTATGGTGGTTTTGTATGACCACGACTTCAGAAAAACAACAATTTGCTATCACCTGCTGGTTTTATTCATGATCTCTTCGGTAAAAATTCTTGGATAACTATTTCTATAATTTTGAGTGACAGTAACTGCCAGCTACATGGAAACATGCTACTTTCTCTTCAGTCTCCAGAGGAGGATATATAAAGGACTCAGCATTTGCAGACCAGTCTCATTACTACCAATACTGCAGAAGGTAATGGACGAGCTGGTGAATGACCAAGTGAGGGAGTATGTTGACAAGAACGAAATCCTGAATGGAGCTGAACATGGATTTCAGAAAGGTAGGTCATTCGCATGCAATATTCTCACAGCAGAGGACAGCTGAGCAACCTGCTAAGACCGAAAATACCGGTGTGCATAATCTTTCTTTAATTTCAAAAGCCTTCAAAACAGTATCCAACGTACGCCTAATCGCGAAAGTTGTGTAAATTGGCTCCACTGACCCACTCCTATCTTGGCTCAGAAACTACCTTGAGAATAGAGTTTCGTACCAAGGTAAGTAGAGTGCACGCGAGTTGGCAAGTCTCAGCATCTGGAGTTTCACAAGGGACCATCTTAGGTCCACTCCTCTTCCTGACATTCATTAACAACCTTTTAGACAAAGTCAGCTCGACAGCACTGATCTACGCAGACAGTGCAAAGATCTGGAGATCCGCTCGAATGGGCAGTGAAAAACGGTTTAAAATTAAACTAGACGAATTATCACGTAATGTACATTCTGCCCCACATGACGCAAACGATTTACATCCTCAACTGAAATCCACTCCCACTATCTCCTCAGAGCTCGATCTCAGTTTGATAACCACTGAAAACCTCCACACCAGTTCGAACTATATAGGGGACGCAGCCAGTATGTAAATTATCCATTTATTTACTAAGTTCTTATTCATTAGCATTCTTATTCATATTCACATTAGAAATTTATCAAAATTATTCCTCACATTGCAGCTAACTGATCTCCGGCCTGGCACAAACTCTAATGCCCTGAAACAAACGTATTCATTCAAATCACGAGACACTAGCTCGTAAACAACTGCCAAATGACTAGAATTAGACAGTCGAGTGGCTAGACCTCCATCCATTGGACATCACCGAACACCTGGAACCGTACCGAAAGAACAAGAATCGAGCGCGAAGAAATCAGTTTGGTTTACAGTAGCTCGTGAAAAAGATATTGGATATTGGAAGCGGCACTCACGAAGTGTGCGTTTGTAACCAACCTGCAGTTCCGATTATTGCTGTGCCTTAATCACATGCTTGTGTTATCTCTGTTTATTGTTGATTGCTTTCCTTTATAGAAGTGAGTGCATCTTCTGTGCTTCAAAAGTCTATCCCATTTTTCCTGTTTTCCCCTCCCAGATAACTCCACTTACTGCTCCTCACACTCCCTCAGCAAACAAGGTACCTTCAGGCTAAAAGAAAACTTAACGAAGTCTGAAATTACGTGTCATGTGTACGTTTGCTTGCAAACCTTGGGATATTCTAGTTACTAAACATTGAAGACTCCATACTTTAGAAACTACGGTTCCAATAAGTCTCAATCACTTATATTATAGAAGGTCGAATTTGTATTACTTACACAATGTATTCTTGACCCAACAAGACCTGTCGAAGTTAAAAGGCTACCAAGAAAGGGTACTAGGTCTGAGAAAACGTACAATTTTAGTCTAATAGACTGAAAAGAACACCATGTAAGCTGTACAGATCCCGACCTCCCAACTTTGGTTAAAATCTCATCAAATTTGTGGGAAAGCGACTAAAAAGCTCAACGTTTCCTCAGGTGCGGTTTTCCCGTAGGTAACTGCAGTTGGTCGAAATTTCACTTTGGTTAAGTAATTCGGACTTGTACTCTAGAGTTTTGCATGCTATAACCACTTTCATGATAAGTTAGAGAATTTATACATTTGAAATGACAGCTCAGTACTTTATATGATACCTTTTTTTGTTATTCGCGACTTATGTAGTTACACTATTGGCTTCTCAAAGTTAACATGTCAATCATCCAAAACGAAAGTTTGTTAGCTGTCACGCAAATACATGATACTCGGTTTGCAGAATATCTTATGCCATTCGACCCTTTAGAATTCTGAAGCACATTTGCGAACCATTGTTTTTGGATTGATTTTCGAATTCCTTAAATTCAGCCCTATATTTATTTGCTTGTCTTGAACTGGTTGTGTAAAGGGAAAAACGGTAGATTCAGTTGAGTAGAAAGTATTTTATCATCTACAAATGTGATCATGCCGAAGATCACAGATCTAGTCAACACATTTTATTCATGGTGTATTCCGTCCATAGTACAAGAATAAACATTAGTTAAATGGTTTCTAAGTCGCTGATCCCGAGTATTTAGGTAGCCTTAGTTTGTTAAATAATGTGTTGATACATTTCTGCTTGCAGGCATTACGATTATTTCAAAAATCACTCTTCGACCCTGTAACTGCACGTGTAACCTTTTGAAAAGATTGGTACCTTAGGTTATTATTTTCTTTACTTCACAGTTGGCTCATGTTTTTCCCTATGTAATAAGTAGACCTGACAATTCAAACATTTGGGCCATTTGAAAGTCAGTCAGTCAGATGCAACGTAGAACTTCGTACGTAAGTACATCAGTTCATGTCGCCATACCACATGAGCACAGAGATAAAATTGTCAATTCAAATCCAATAGTAGAAGAGGTAGTAAAGGTATTAGAAGTAATCGGAGAGGTTAGGATTAGAAGATATTATTCAAGAAGTATGATTCAGTGAGAAAAGTTTAGAAAGTCAAAACTAGAGGTGTTGAAGAATCTAGAAGATTAGGATTTGAGAGAACAAAGAATAAATGCACCGGCGCCATTGCGAACAATTCTGAGCCATGTCACTCAAGGTCTCTAACCATCGATTATTATCGTCTCGCGGACCCCAACTAGGTAGTCGACAATTACCGACATGGCTCATCCTTACCTAGCACCCGATTCCTAATAACAGCGTTGCTCACTCGGGTGTCCCAGGATATACGAGCAATGCTTCGAAGACACCTATGATCGAAAACCAGTAACCTACTAATATCTTCTACTCTCATTGGCCCTGTTTCACAGCCATAAAGTAAGACGTAGCGAACCACTGCGCAGTACACTCGTTCTTAAGTCAGCAAACGGATATCTCGCCTACACCATAAGTGACGCAGGTTGGCAAAAGCCAATCGAGCCTTCTGTATCCATACTGAGATTTTGTCAGTCACCAGACCCTCAGCACTGATGAGACTACCAAGATGAGTGAAGCGGTCTACACGTTCGACTACCTCACTCCCTATCACTAGTTCAGGTGTTGATGCAACCCAATCTTGAAGCAACATTTTGTATTTCGAAAGAGAGAACCGCATTCCGAACGCACTTTAATTGTTGCTCAAGGTGGTCAGGAGACTGCAATTTGTCAGCGTTTTCACCAATTAGAACTATGTCATCGGCATATTCTAAGTCGATAAGCGAGCCACCTGGTAAAAGGTCTACTCCTGAAAATTCAGATGAGGATAAGGTTATTTCTAGGAGCATGTCTATGATAAAATTAAACAAGAATGGAGAGAGTGGACATCCCTGACGGGTACCACTTGAAGTGAAGAATTCCGGTGACAGTTCGCCATAAGCTCTCACTCGACCAGTGGTGTTTGAGTAGAGAGCTTGTATAAGGTTGATGTACTTCTTTGGTACACCTTTCAATGACAGACGCTGCCACAGAACCTCACGATCTACAGAGGGGCAATTTGAAAACTTATTAATCAACACCTAAAATATATTCTCTCCTTTTTACGTTGTTCAATATGTATGATTTATTTTACCGAAGATTTGTTCTTCAAGTGAATATGAGTGAACTAGACTACGAAAAGTAGTTAAGAGAGACGGAACCTAGCTAAGGTGAAGATAATAAGGAGCTTTGAAAAAGGATTCGTTAATCTGATGGAATTCTTGTAGTTCATGCTTTGTAGAATTCAAGTGATATGACTAAAAGTTGATACAAGTGACGAAAATAAGCTCATTTTTTGTTTGCACAATCAATAAGTAGCTTATCGTCTCACATATTTTACCTTTTGTCTGCTGCTTTCTGTCTTATTTTTCACCAATATTGGTTTCATAATTTCAGATCATTGTAAATGGTTTCCGAAGATAGTAACGCTACGTTTGGATGTCGATATCTTACAGATGCTTGTGATATTTATGAACATAATGCCTGGTAAAAATTAGGATGAAAAAACCCAACTTTGTCTCTAGGGATGATGTTCAGTGGACGGAAGAGCAGGAAAATTTAGCGAAAGAAATGATACTTTTGAATAGCGCTGATAAACTTCCAGATGATTCTCAAGGTTTGTGAAAGCTACTCCTTATGTTAGGTGATTAGAAAAAATTGAGGTCTTCTCACATGAGTACTGGAACAAGTTTTATTCTCATCACGAAGATAAATTTTTCAAAGACAGAAACTGGTTAAGAAAAGAGTTTCATGAATTATTTTCTTCAACATGTGAGTTTTAATCCTTTCGTAAATCGTTGCAGCACCTAGTTTGCACATAATGGAAGTCGGTTGTGGTGTGGGAAATACGATATTTCCAATATTAAGAGCTATAAAGTATACAGCATTAAGATATTTATTAAAAATTCAGGAGTCCTGGCCTGTTGATATATGCATCAGATTTCTCTGTAAATGCACTATCCATACTCAGAGTAAGTTCATACCTGAGGTATTATTATTCAATAAGGGTTCCAAAGAGTATGATGCCGATCGTTGTATTAGTTTCCAGTATGACATAACCAAGACTGACGATGAAATCCCTTGCCCCAAAAACAGTTTGGATTTTTTAATCTTGGTGTTCGTATTATCAGCAGTTAATCCTGAACTGTAAATATTTTTTCTGTAGTTTAATCGCAAATGTATTTTAGGTTTCATCGCACACTTAAAAATCTTGTAACTTATTTGAAACCCGGAGGTGTACTATTGTTCCGGGATTATGGACAGTTTGATCTAGCTCAGTTGCGATTTAAAAGTGGTCAATGTTTAAAAGATAATTTTTATCTGAGATTAGATGGTACAAGAGTTTACTTTTTCACACAAGGTTAGTTTCAAACTTCAGACAAATCGTGATGTTTAAATTTCATACAGATGAATTACACAAATTGTTTACTGACGTTGGTCTGGAAAAAATTCAGAACAAAGTTGATCGTAGACTAATTGTAAATCGCAAAAAGAAGTTAAAGATGTACAGGATTTGGATTCAGTGTAAATATAACAAGAGATAATGTTATTTTATTATTTTAGATTTTGTACGTTAATAGTTCTAATGAAATGTGATCGGCATTTCATCTATCATTTGACTTACAGTTTATTCATTCACTTTGACAATCAAAAACTCACCCGTTGACAAGATCATCAAGCCCTCATCCATTACAATGGATACTGGGATTTGATTGTTGAGATTTCCAGAGCTTGTCCGTTTATCGAATTCTCTGCCATAGTAATGAAGATAGAAATAGAAATCGATTTTTAAGGTGACGATTACCTTGAACGAGTGTAAGTCACTATTCATTCACTTGCTTGAATTAGAGTGAACTTATCAAAAAGTACTTATAAATTAGTGGAAATCTACACATTCACAATTTGTTAATTCAAGATTAAATATCGTCCAAAAAGTGCATTATCAATGAAAATCTCGGTCAATGTAGCGGTGCAGTGGTTGCACACTATGAAACGGCTAAGGTTTAATAGTGGCAAAGTTACTGGCAGAGAAGTCATAATTTCTTAAAAATCTTTCAACTTCAATTCTGCAGTCACAATGTTCAGATGAGTCTACAGGATATGCACCGGGCCATCACCCACAGACCATTTATTAAAAAAGTTTGAAAAAGCCATTAACGTTCCCAGTCACAGCACAAAAGCAATTCGGGTGTTCACACTTACAGATTTACTGGTAAGATCAATCTTTATCTTAATCAGGAGGAAGAAGGTGAAAGTATGGATTTACCCCACCTTGACAATTAGACAGTGAGAGAGACTTGTCTTAAATATTATTTTAATAATAAGGTTGCAACTTGTAAACGGAACAGAAACATGATTTTCACTAAACATGAATAATGTAGGAAACAATTCCAAAGAATTGCCGTTTTTTTAATATTGTTGCAAAAACAGCCCATATCGTTTCGTATAGGTGTTGTGATAGGAATGATTTAGGCTCAACAGTTAGGTTTTAATTAAGTGGAGAGTAGATAACCCACAAAAATAATTCCCTCCAATCCTTTGGGACATTCAATTTCGTTTGTTTTTTGTAGACAATTTATATGTAGACATATTGAAAAGGTTTTGTCTTTTATATTAGGTCATTCGTAGACTCTGCTACATCGTATCATGAGAATTCATCTACCAATTTGTATTTTATTTTAACGGTTCAAAACTTGCTTAATTTGAACTAATAGTGTTCATCTGGGTAAAATTAACTCACGTTATTTCCTCAAAAGTTAAGATTTTCCGAAGTCCCACGCATGATCATAATTTCAATCGAATCATGCTATTAGCAGTAATACTGCTGTTGTGCTATAGAACTAGAAATTCTTGGGATGACAGTTTCACCATAAACCAGCTAGTCCCTGACAATATTTAACTGCGATTGTTCAAAAGTCGAATCTTCTTGCAATTTTTTTTGGAAGATAACACTTAAATATCCCAGTCAGGTTCAATTATTTGTACTGGGATTAACTACTCACTACTTCTCTTTGATGTTGGCCCAATAAATGACATTGTGTCATTACAGAAATGCTCAACAACTTTCTGTCAAGGTATTTTTTATTAGCAACTAGTACTAAAAATTCCCTGTTGTTCCCGACCGTAGCTGCTACCTTGACATGGTGGTTGGGCTTGCCTGTCGTGATGACCTAACCAAGCTATATTGGCTGGAACATATGTTTCTGTAGGTTCTACCATACCAGGCAGGTCGATCAGAGTACGATGGGACTTAAAGCACCAACTCAAGGTCTGAGGGTGAAGTCGTACTGCTGACTGTAGAGGGTTGTGGCAGCAGTAAGGTGTTTACCTCGGACGATTGGCACCTGCAGCGATGCTGCCTTCTCACAAGGAAGGAATGGGTTAGAAAAGGTTGACCATAAAAATGTCACACCTCACCTTACCCTACGGATTTCCGTCTCCGGCGGTAAGGCCACTTGAAGAGCGGAGCTAACTCTTCAAAAATTTTCATAAAAAGGTCGTGCGTGACCAGTCTCAAGCAGTTGTCTCCTGAACTCTGCAGTCACGCTTCCAGGACTCTAAGACCAACAATAATCTAACCTCCATCTCAGGTTCTTCAAGAAACACCTACTGTGTGCGCAGCCAGGAAGTGTCATCCGTCCTCATACTCGTAACAACATACGAGACCAAATTGGTCACAATCGAATCATTCTTACACCCCGTTACATCTCTCTTATCTCCACGACTAGCTCTCCTCACATTCCTTTATCACCCCGTACCGATAATGCAAACGATGCGAGTTCACGACTCCTGAAACCCTGTTCTAAATTACATGTTGGAGCATTTGATTTTCGGACACTGCTAAATAGGGCAACAGGCTTCATTATCTAGGACTTTAGAATATCGTGCAATCGATTTACTCTTCGTGTATCGGGGAGCCCTGGTGCTGCTTCTTGGGGTCTCACTGGCGTAGATATAGCATTGAGTCCTAGGGCAGAACTAGCTCTCTTAGACTGGATCATAGTAGATAGTCGCTTGTCAGTCAGTCAGATGCAACGTAGAACTTTGTACATAAGTACATCAGTTCATGTTGCCATACCACATCAGCACAGAGAAGTAATCGTCAATTCAAATCCAATAGTAGAAGAGGTAGTAAGGGAATTAGAAATAATCGGAGAGGTTAGGATTAGAAGATTTTATTTAAGAAGTATGATTCAGTGAGATAAGTTTAGAGAGTCGAAACTAGAGGTGTTGAAGAATCCAAAAAGATTAGCATTTGAGAGAACACAGAGAATAAATGCACCGGCGCCATTGCGAACGATTTTGAGCCATGTCATTCAAGGTCTCTAACCATCGATTATTATCATCTCGCGGACCCCAACCAGGTAGTCGACAATTACCAACATGGCTCAGTCCACTAGTCAATGACTTCATGGATTTCTGCCATGTTTTGGTTTGGCCGCCTCTAACTTTCTTCCAACCTATTCCTACACTACAAAACAAGGCTCGACGAGGCAGCCGGTGGTTGGGCATACGCAACACATGTCCCAACCACCTCAACTGGTGAAGTTTCAATACTTCGTCGATTGATCTGCCATTCTTGCCTAGCACCCGATTCCTAATAACAGCGTTGCTCACTCGGGTGTCCCACGATATACGAGTAATGCTTCGAAGACACCTATGATCGAAAACCATTGACCTACGAATATCTTCTACTCTCACTGGCCATGTTTCACAGCCATAAAGTAAGACGGAGCGAACTACTGCGCAGTACACTCGTCCTTTAGTCAGCAAACGGATATCTCGCCTACACCATAAGTGACGCAGGTTGGCAAAAGCCAATCGAGCCTTCTGTATCCGAGCTGAGATTTCGTCAGTAACCAGGCCATCGGTACTGATGAGACTCCCAAGATAAGTGAAGCGGTCTACACGTTCGACTACTTCACTCCCTATCACTAGTTCAGGTGCCGATGCAACCCAGTCTTGAAGCAACATTTTGCATTTCGAGGGGGAAAATCGCAACCCGAACATGCTTGCATTGTTGCTTAGGGTAGTCAGAAGACTCTGCATTTTGTCAGCGTCTTCACCAAGTAGGACAATGTCATCGGCATATTCTAAGTCAATCAGCGAGCCACCTGGTAGAAGTTCTACTCCTGAAAATTCAGACGAGGATAATGTTATGTCTAGGAGCATGTCTATGAAGATAGTCGCTTGTGCGCTGTACGACTAAACGGGACAGTAAGGACTCGTAAATATAGGGACACTCTCCGTTGCCTCAAATTCTAACCTGAATTCCTCATCATCACCCGATAGTTATCACTAGGCACGACACTTTAAATTGACAGAAGCCGAGTGTACTTACTTCAGTGGTATATGGTTCAGACCTAATTTTCTGAATTTTCGTTCTGATAACTGTGTTTCAGTTTTATTGAATTTTACACTATTTGATTGATTAAAAGTGTGTCCTTTACAGGAATGCTTCTCGTAAGGCCTGATCAACCAATAATTTTTTATTGTGTATATAGTAAGGATCAGGTAGGAAGTTCTCGGACATAATCTGAATGTTTTTCGCTTATTTGCATAACAAATATAATAAGTTTAACTTTATATATGCTTCAGTGAGAAAATGTTCGGCAGTAATACCAGATCTCCACTCCCAACCATTTAGAGAGTTGTTTTTGATGATAATGGAAATGGACCTACAGTTTCAGTGATTCTTACTGTAACGCCCATCAATCAGTTAGATTATTTTGGTAAAAGATAACCAATCTAGTGTAATGAGGCGAGTCGCAGCTGACTAAAATCACCACTACAGACCGATTACGTTCCCGTCACTATTCAGTAAATCAGTTACAACGTAGAACTTAGTACATGTGTACATAAGTTCAGGAGACGCAACTGTCAGTTTAAATCCCATAGTGGTGGTAAAGATAGTAGAAGTATTAGCAATAATGGAGAAGATTAGGGTTCCAAGATATGATTCGAGAAGTATAGTTCAGTGAGATGACTTTAGAAGAAGAAAGAGATGATGAGGAATTCGGGTTAGAATTTTAGAGGACACAAAGAATGGATGCACCTGCGCCATTGCAAACGATTTTGAGCCATGTCGTTCAAGGTCTCTAACCATGGGTAACTTTTGTCTCGTGGACCCCAACCAGGTAGCCTACATCTACCAACATGACTCGGTCCACTTGTCAGTGACTTCATGAATTTCTGTCATGTTTTGGACTGGCCGCCCCTAGCTTTCTTCCACCATACTCCAATACCACAAAACATAGCTCGTCGAGGCAGTCGGTTGTTGGCCATTCGTGACACATGTCTCAACCACTTCAACTGATGAAGTTTCAATACTTACTCTACAAATCTGCCATCCTTACCTAGTACTCGATTCCGAACTATAGCATTACTTAGTCGTCCCACGATATACGAATAATCGAATAATAATAATGGTAATAATAAAAATAATAATCTACAAATGTCCTCTACTCTTACCGGCCATGTTTCGCATCCGCATAGTAGGACCGTCCTTTGGTTAGTAAACGGATATCTCGCCTGTGCCATAAGTGACGCAGGTTGGCAAAAGCCAATCGAGCCTTCT